ATGGGATCCAGCTTGCATCCCTTCTTTTGTTTTTATAAGTTTTATTCTTTTGTTGTTGTTGTTTCCCTGAAGATTTTTAAAACTTTTTATTGCTATATAATAAACTTGATAAATGCTTACGAAGTGAACTCACAGGTGTGATCCATAGTCAGGCCAAGGGAGAGTGTTTCCTGGGACCAGAATTGCCCCTCTCTGGCCCCCTCTTCTCCCAGCTGCTTCCCCCCAAACACACTGGGCTGACTTCTAGCACAAAAGCTTAGTTTTGCCTTTTTTGAACTTTATGTGATTGGAACCATATAGTCAGCACTGCTGTGTGCCTGACCTCTTTCGCTTGTTACTATGGTTGTGAAATTCGCCTAGGTTGTGTGTCTCTCACTCTCACCGCTGTATGGAATGCCATTGCAGGACCATGACCTGCTTATTTAACATTCCACTCTCAATGAGCATTTCTGTTGTTTCCAGCTTTTGGCTATTGTGAATAAAACAGCTATGGATATTCTTGTATGGGCCTTTGAGTAAACTTACCTACGCATTTCTGTTGGGTGTATGCCTAGGAGTGGAATTTCTAGGTCCTAGAGTATCTATCTTGAATAGATAGATCCTGCTAAAGATTTTCCAAAGTTAGTTGCTCTGTAGTCCCATTAGCAGTGTCTGGAAGTTCCTGATGCTTCACAGCATTGTCAACACTTGGTACAGTCTTTGTTTAATTTTAGTCATTTGGATGTGTATGAAGTAGTATCACCTTGTGGTTTTAATTGGTGTTCCCAGATGATTAATAAATATGAGCTCTTTTTATATATTTATTGGCCTCTTGGATCTCCTCTTTTGTGAAGTGCCTGTTAAATTCCACTGCCCTCTTTTTTTCCCTATGAGTGCGTGTGTTTTTAAACATTATTTTATTGTAATTCTTTTTATCTCAGGATATGAGTCTTTTGCATATATATGTACATATATATATATATGTGCATATATATTCTTTACCTCCGAAGGAATAGGCAGCCTGCATTTTTTTTTTTTTTTAAGATCCTGACCCATGATGAAGTCCCTGTGAACTAGTAGGATCAGAACAGGACTTGGAATCACCATACTATGTTGGATTATGTCTGCTCTTTCTCCGACTTTTTACCTACTACAATAACTTCAAACCTATGGTGGGAATTTTTAAGAGAAGAAGAAACAGACCAAAGCATTGTATGAGGACTGTGTGAGAGCGCATTTGTAAAGCACCGTGAAAGAGGTGTTTGACACGCAGGTGTCCAATCCATGTTGCCTCTGCGGCATCCCCTTCTTACCAATGCTGGGCGACTCGGTTAGCTTCTCTAAGTCTTCTCATCTGTAAAAGTGGGAATAATATCTAAGTTACATTCTGCTGTCAAGGTTAAGCAAAATAAATGAGTTTATGGAAGGACTTTGTAAACTGAAACGTGATTCAAATATAAGGAAAAGTTTCCGTGATTTGAATTAGCCTGACTGTCAGTCTGTACTCCTGCCCTGCTTTGTGTTTCTTCGGAGTATTCATCACTACTGAGATTAATTTATGTATTTTTTAAAAATTGTCTTTCTCCCGGAGGGCAGGAACTTTATTCACCACTAGGTTTTTAGAGTCCACTGGCACATCGTGTGTACAACAAAACTTTACAGAATAAGTAGAGACTGTGTGATTTTTGTTATGTGATCGTGATTGTTACAGCACACATTGAATTGTTTCCATTCTTTTACTTTTGCAGTGATAACCTCAGCTCTTCCCTCTTCTCAGAGACTAACACGCTTCTATTGCCTTCAGCATGGGTCAGATTTATTAATTTCTGCATTCAGTCTGTATACACCATTGAAGATTCTCCTAGACTCTCCTAAATTCTCCTTCACTCCCATTATGCCAGCATCTCTGGGATGTTTTCTTAGCAAAAAGACCATCACAAAAGCATGGAAACATGGGCCACTTATCTCATCATGACTCACTATCTACCTCTACATGAACTTGAGCAGAGAATTAAATATGGTAACTTTACCATTTAACTGCACAAGAAAGGCACAGTTATCAGCTGATTTGAGTGGATGCATTTATTCTTTCATTCCATTTCTTTTCCAGCACTGTGGTTATCAGTTCTGAGCCATTTTCATTTCTAGGCTTTTACTTATTTCAAGTGTCTTCTGCTGGCTCAGTAACCTTTGTGATAATTACATCAAATGTTATCAAGCATTGCAACCAATGGCCTTTTTAATCACCACTATAATTCTTATATTGAGTATTACATAAAGCAAATTTTATCTTTCATCTGAATTAAAATGCAGCTTCATAAATATTTAACTTTGAGGGAACATTGTCTGTGTTAAATAAGATAACACTACGTTAATACACTTACTGTGGAATCTCCATTCATTTACTCTTTGAGAGGAAAAATAATTTTAATTAAAAAACATAAAAATCGTCCTACTCACGGTTCCTCAAGCATCACATTGACACTTCCTACCTACATAATATTGCCTTGGTTTATACTTTGTTCAAGCAATTCCTTTAACTTCAAAATGCTCTTTTTCCTCTTACCATAGATTATCTACTGGTCTTTCATAATTGAACTTAAATGCACCTCCTCCATAAAATTTATTCAAGGCTTCAATTGAAATTATTCTTTCCTTCCCTTAGGATTATATAGCTGTTCCAATAATTAAAAAGAAAGTTTTTACTGAAGAATCTTTTTTTGGACAAAAACATAGAAGGAATTGATCTTGGCTAAACCCACCCTACATTTCAACTGTAGCATTATGTATCTCTAAGGTCACCGCCATGAACACTGATAAACATGGGGGTTCATTTTTGATGTGCTTTGCTAATCATGGTGGGGGACCACAAGTTCTGGTGTTTCCCTGTCACTCCCAAAATATTCCGGATTGGAGCTACAACCTATGTTCACATAACAGATCCATGAGCTATAGCTTGAATTTAACTGTGTATTGTTTTATTAATTAGCTGCTAATCTTAGATTTAGAAGTTACATCATTCAGTATTTTCGTTCAGTGCCTGATTTTCATGGCTGCTTTCGCTGTTCTGGGCTGTCCAGCCAAGCCCCTAATTCACATTGTCAGCGAGAGAAGCTCACAATTAATCAAAGGATATGCATCAGCACCGGTGGGGGGATCTTTTGACACCTCCTACCCCTAGACTCTGCATACCTATGTTGGCTGAGTTTCCACACCTGTGAAAATTTTTAAAAAATGCAGACCACTTCTCAAGGCTTTGGGGAGTATTTAATGGGAGAGCATGCAAGTGAAAAAGCACACGCTGTGAACGGTGCTATCCAGGGTGTGTTACCTACAGTGGTCTGGAGTGCTCTGGTGGGGTCACGCCCCTCTCCTAACCTCCGTTAAACTTTCTGTTTAATTATGCATTTGATACCTGTTTCTTTGGAAGAAAAATGAGCAGCCTCGGCAGAGTCATCTGAGAAAAGACATTTTTATTTTTTTATTTATTATTATTTTTTATTTGTCAGTTTTCTTAGGTAAAATTGATACAATTTGACTACACGTGTACAATATATTGCTTGTAAATACATATATACAATATACTGCACGTATTTTTAAAATTTACGTATAGGTGCTGTTCATTGTTTCTAAAAACAGTTTAGAGCTTTAGCTTCTTAAATTTACATAGTTATCAAAGGAATAAAGCCAACCACAAAATAAGAATCAACAGAATGCAGTAATCCAATCATAAAGGACAGTCAGATGTGCTCACACATATTCAAGAAATCAGTCATCTAAGTTGTCAGTAATAAGTAGTTCATTTGTGCCCTTTTTTTTAGGCTCCACTTGCAAGTGATATCATATGGCATTTTTCTTTCTCTTTCAGGCTTACTTCACTTAGAAGAAGATGTGGTGTATATATATACACAATGGAATACTACTCAGCTATAATACAAAATTTAAAAAAGAATAAAACAATGCCATTTGCAGCAACATGGATGGACCTGGAAATCATCATTTTAAGTGGAGAAAAGATAGTTTTAGATTAAGAGGATGCTCTAGGGAGATGGGATGTGGTTATGAGCGCTGGGACAGCGCAGGGATGAGGGTCAGTTCCAGTGGAGGGTGGGCAATGGGAATGGTCTGTGTGACGCCCCCTGCTCCCCTGGCAGCGTGGGGTGCTCTGCATGCTGGCTCACACGATGCCTCACGTGGATTGGTGCTACCAGGTGGCTGAGAATTGGCTGCAGCTTGAGCCTACCCACTTGGCATTTTAAGAAACTTTTCTCATTCTGACTTGGATGGCCTCGGTACCCAAGACAAAAGCTGCTTCAGAACCTTTAATTACCGAGGTTTACCTTCCACTCTGGGCAGAAGCACAGAACTGTAAGTTTAATCATCTCTTTGACAGGTAGTGCACAGCTTCCCTGCTAATTAATCTTTAATGTCATTAATTGGCTGTCTGTGTGGTGACAAGGAAAAGAGTAAACACAGTTTGCAAATCAATTGAGTTCTCATCTGAACCAGCATTTAGTTTTCAGGGTGAATAAAAACAATGACCAGCCTTTCACTGGCTGGACTTCCAGTGCCTGGCCAATAAGATTATTGACCCCCCAAAATGTTCAGGCAACGATCTCTGCTGTGAATGTTCTAACTAAAGGTTTTCTTTGCTACCAGCACCCACCTTTGAAATTGGCTCATCGGTTTGGCATGGATCAAGGATGAGACTGGAAAGCCAGTCTCATAAGATCAGAGTTTGTCTCCCACACCCACTTATTTCTCTTTGTATTGATTTTGCCTCCATGGGCTGTTTGAAATCAAATCTCCATCCCAAGCAGATTCATCGATGAGTCCTTTGTTTGGGATCACCCACTAACCCTACACCCATGGTGTAGACTTAGAATGGTACAGAATAGAAGTACAAAAAGTGAGGGCCCTGGGCCAGCAGGGTCAGCATCCCCTGGAGGCTGGTTAGAAATGTCAATTTTTAAGCCCCGCACCCCGAAAGACTGAATCAGGAACTCGGGGGGGGGGGTTGGGCCAGGATTTTAGCTGTAAGAAGCTTTCCAGGGGATTCTGACGTGGACTGATGCTGGGGACCACCGGGCCAGAGCACCACTGTGTCCACTTCATATAAACAGGAGGGCATTGCTCCCTTTCCTCACTGAGGGGACCTCCTTGATGATGGAAAGTGCAAGAGGTGACTAATTTTAAAGGGGCGACTCCACTGGACTCCCTGGCAAAACGCTATGAGAAGCACATTGCTTTTGCTTGGCCTCCAGCGTCTCTGTGACATTTGGCTTTGAGATGTGTCTGACCTCTGGGACTGGAAATGGCCATTTCAGTTTCTGCTGTTGTTCCTCATTGACTAAGGTAAATAATTTGGGCCAGGGATCTAGCCTCTGAAGAAAAGAGGAAACAGAGAGCAAGTTGCTCCATACAGAGGAGAAAATATTCCCAAATTGAGCATGGCGCTCTGCTGCAGGGAGAAGAGGGGATTCTCACTGATTCTGGAAAAACTGTTATACTCTGGGTCCACGTCAGAGGTGACAAGGATGCTGGGAATGGCGCCCGGCTGACTCGCAGTGGAGACCGGAAAGAAACTGAGCTATGGCCCCCGGCTGGAAGGAATGAACCCCTGCATCTTCCCCTCTCTGGGCTAGCCCTAGAAATTTGGCCAAGTCCTTCTGGAAGGGAGCAGACAGCAAGTCCAGGAGAACCAACCCTTCTTTCAGGTGAGAAAACCAAGACTCAGTTTACCTTAATTCATGTTCTGACAGTCTTCCCTCAAATCCTTTTCTAGACTTGCCAGTTACCATTAGCATCTTTGCAAATATCCCAGGAGGCAAAGCCAATGTGACATTTGCAATCAGAGGGCAGCAATCCTTAAGCAACAGGACTTATATTTCAGGCTCTCAACAGGCAGGGACAGGAGCTGCGTCATTTTCTTTATTACAGGTTGTTGATGGAGACACTTGGGTATAAGAACTAACTTCAGCATTCATCTGTTCCTCATATTTTATTAGGGAGCCAAGGACTGTAGTGGGTGGACTGTTGGGGACTATATGACAGATCATTGAATGCCATAAATTAGGAGCAAGTGAGAATAGATCATCTTGAAAAACCTTTCTACTGCTAAATTTCACATCTTGAAATTTTTCTTCTTCTCTTTCCCTTCATCCTGTTTTCTCCTCCCTCTTCCTCCCCTTTCTTCTTCCTGTAATTGCAAAGTCTTTGCATGGATACACATGGATAAGAATGAAGCTTCTAGATGACTCTTTTCCAGGAAAATAGACTGTTCTTGGCTTATGTTGGCATACATTATAAATATTTCTTCATAGGATATGAAAATCCACTTAAAGGAATACATGTTGTGGCAGGCTCTCTCATCAAATGCATGGAAAAACAAGTTTATTTTCTGACAACCCATTTACACTATACGCAGTCTTCACTTGGTGCAGTACCACCATGTTAACTGAAACGAGCAAATATCAGGAACATTACCCTTGCTTTGCATGGTTCTGTGGTTCTGGATGGTAGCTCTGAAGCTGGAGTGATCATTCAGAGATCCATTCCACATTAACCAGTTGTTGGGTGAAGGCTGTGCTCGAGATAGGGCATAATCTTGGATGAGCAAGTTCTCATTGGCTGAGAGAAATTCCTGGAGAATTCACACCTGAGCTGTCATCTGGAAATAAACCTTGGCAGCTGGGGGAATGAGTATCTCAGCCTTAACTGGGGGATCTTGATGCTGCACCCCAGAATCAACCACAGTCTACTCCTGCTTGGGTCCATTTGCTGTGAAAGTTCAGCCTATCTGGGAACGGCTCCTCCAGAATTTTGGTTGGTCTCTTTTTGTAGGGAAATTTACAAGGGTAAGGTTAGCGAAACAAACTATAGCCCCCACTGCTATAGGTGTTCACGGGGCCATCATCACTGATGCTCCCCCCTGCATGGCCCACTGTGACTCCCCTCACTCTCTGCTAGCACCTCTTCTGTCATGGCTTACCTGATGGGGTGACCCAGACTCTCACCTGTGAGGGGTCTGAGCACATGGTCAGTGTGCCCTTCGCAGGCCATGAGGGCTTCTCTTGACCATTTACTGTCACCATCAGGCAGGGGAGTAGTGCAAAGCTCCAATGAGTCAGCTAGGTGTCCAGCATGCTTTCTTCTGCTTCACTGTGTAACAGTAGCCCAACGTCCTTCTGAAGATCAGGGTTGATTACTCCTTCCAGCCTAATGAGCTTTCCTTGCAATCTGGTCTCTTGGCACAAGGAGCCTGAAGTGATAGGCCAGCAGCCAAGGCTTAGAGATGAATGGGACTTTTCCGCATCCCCTGGTAGAAGCAGCCTGCATCCGGGAATCAGAACGTCTAGACCCCTGAGCTTACATGTATGAGAATGAGAGAGAGAAACTCCCCAAGTGGCTCACTAGGGGGGGATGGTGGTGGAGTGGCTCTTACTTCTACTCCTTAGCTCTCAGACCTGTGCATTCTCTTCCATATCTTGTAAACTCTCGGGATGGCCACACTGAACAACTACTGTGTGTGTGTGTTCGCATGTGTGCGCATGCACATGTGTGTTCGATCCTATTTACACCAACACCAAGCCACCCTTTGGGTTTCAACAGAAGCAAACCACTTCGGATCGGAGTTTTTCTATTTACTTGTTTCTGCTTGTAGGGGAAGCCTCTCTAAGTTTAATTATGCTTGCTTTTCCAAGAGAATAATATGCTCTCAGTCTGGGATAAGGCAGCCTAATTAGCCTTTAAAAAAAATCAAAACATAGCTTTCTAGTGGCGATATCCCTTTCATTAGGTTAGTTTGGCTCCTCCAACTGGCACAGTTAATATTGCTTATTTGCATATCTTCTCCCATGGTATTTAGCTCCATAACTTGTAATGAAAACACATTTTAGAGTACGCTGGAGATGGACTTAATGGAGTTGGTTATATCATAAGCAGAGATCCTTACAGTGGCTCTGGCTCGATCTTCATATTTACTGCAAGACACTTAAACGTACAGTTTAAAGTGGGAAAAGCTTTTTGGAGTAATTATTTTTTAATAATTAGCTTAAGGATAATTGGGAAACTATCACTCGCAGCACTTTAATCATGTAAAGTAAGCTATTTCTGGAAATGTTAATGGAAAGCCAACTCCTTAGAGATTGCAGAGAGTTAAAAGATCTATAAGAATGGCTATTAATTATGGCCCAAATCCCTCTTTCTGTTATTAGGCTTTGCAGTTGTAAAGCAAGCAAGATAATGTAGCATTTAGAATTCATAGTGCCTCTCCCGTTAGACACAGAGATAATCTCACCCAGCAGGGAGTTCAGGCATTGGAAAAAGCAGGCATATCTCAAATGGAAGGACTTTTTGTGACCTAAACCTTTGCTGTACCTGCATGCAATTTCCTTTGACTTAAGGAGGAAGAGTGCAACAAATAACTTAGGGTTAAATTACCAGACATACTCTATTCAAACACTCCAGTGCTGAAGCAACTAAAATAACTATATTTTCCAGGACCTGCTTTTTCTTCCACTATGTTAAAAGAACACACACATTTCATAGTCTCAACACAGAAATACAAAAACAGGATTCCTGTGAGCGCTTTGATGTGCACCTGCCAACATGTGACAGGACTCAAGCATTTTTAGCCTCAGCCCTTGGCTTTCCCTTCCTCTTCTGGTCCCATCTAATCATTCTCTCCTTGAATGGAGTTTGAAGGACTGCATCTTAAATGTTCCCTGTAGGTCTTGGTCCCCCCACCCCCTGAGCCAAGGCATCTGCTGCATACCCAAACTTGTAATAAAACGTCAGTTCCTAGAAATTGATGGATTCGTTAGCCATGGGCTTTTCCCCCTTCTGCTTTGCCTAGAAGCAGGAGTATATTCTGCTTGTCCCAGGGTGTTTCTGACCTTGATCTCTCTGCATCCTGGCTTTGACAGATCATCAGACTCACAGGTGGTATCCAGCAGGGCTATTTTTATACAGTGCTTCCTGTCCTAAGTGGGGCTCGCCTGCTTCGGAGAAATGCGAGTAATGAGCTAGAGGTTTAACGATGTGCAGGAAACATACATTATGATTTAATAGAGAGCCTGCAACAAACTTAGGATTTCCCTTTAAGCTGTGAAAGCAGAGAAGAAAAAGGGTCTGACAGCAGCTTTCAGTCTGTTCTGCTTATCTGCACCTCCGACTACTTCAAAACACAAGAACTGCAAATCCTTCTCCCCTACACACTTCTATCTGATATATGCCTTCTTAATGGGCAAGCTTTTTTAAACAAGGGAGTTGCTTTGGAATCAACAACTATTTGTTCTTTCTTTCTTCTGCTTAGTTGCACCAAAGCGTTAATATCAACCAGAGATTTGTTATTTGAGAAAAGTGATAATGTTTGCCAACAAGGGCATTACCTAATCTCATTGCAGACACGCTGGTGGCTGTACATGTGTAAAATTAGGTCGCCTGGGCTGATGCCTGCCCGCCTGCCTATTTTTATCTTTAAACAACATTCCCCATCATGCAATGCATTAATGGCTGCCATCAAGGGCTTACTGTAATATACAAGACACTGGCAGTGCCCTTTTGATAGTTTTTCAAATGCTCTCTTATCAGGGATCAGAAAGTCAGATTTCACAGCCTGCAGGATTTATCCCAAGCAAGTGAAATCTGACTGAAAAAAAAAATGTAATCTTGGCTGTGGAGAATGGCCGAGTTACTGATGGACCAAGACTTTGCTGGGGAAGACGCTGTGCAGTATCATACTGGGAGCTGGTCCAGCAGAAGCACCTCTCAATGTGCAGTCTGTGTGAAAATGAAGAGTGATGCAGGCTAGAAATGAAGGGTGAAAAAGTGAAAACGTTAGTGCATCCCTCACCATCAAGAACTGGCTAATTTGAGACCCCTCCCCTAAAACCTTTGTTGTTGTTGTTTTAAAACAGATAGATAGGTACTATCTTGACGTTCCTTGAATAAGAAAGAGAACACTAGAGGGAAGGAAAAAAAACCCTATAGACACCTCAGTTGTTGAGATTGTGGGTGTACACGTACACATTCATCCGTATAGGACCACATGTATGGTTTAGCACCTACTGGTTTTCAAGTGTCCAAGAGCTCATAGTAAGACAGACAGGTCTCTTCTTTCATGGAATTTAGCATCTACTGAGGAAGAAAGACAAGAAAGAATTGGGCAAAAAAATAAATACATAAAATAGTTTAAAGCACTTAGTAGATGCTAATTAAACAATCGTTAACTTAAGGAATGGAGATGGTAAAATGCTGCTAAAAATGAAGACTTTGATGTGATTGGAAAAGAAAACTGAGGTAGGTGTGGGAAACAGATGTCACTAGTGGGATCCCTATATCCACAGAGCAGAGAGCTGCTTGGCGGCATCCTTGGTTCACTTCAGGTGCGTTTATGGAACACCAACGTGTCACGTGACAAAAAATTAGGAAAATGTTTATATTGCCGAAGAGTCCTTGATGAACTGTTCTTTCTTTTCCAATAGCAAAAATTTTCCTCCAACAAATGCTTCCATTCTTTTTCATCAGGTAGGATTGAAAATCACGAGCAATTCCATTAAAAACCGGCACATGTGGTTGGTTTTGCATATCCGAGGAGACTATGTTCGCACCCTCATCTTCTAGGAGCGAAGCCAGCTATGCAAATGCGTAACTGTGAAGTCAAGAGTGAGAGCTGTACATAGGCGAGTCCAAGAGAATGGAGCACTCTCAAAAATGACAACTCTGGAGCTGGATTTTGTGTGAAGGTGTTGTCACAACCAACTTGTAAGGAAGCGATCACAGCTATTTGTATAATATTACAAACAGTCTTTGAACTCTGCTCATAATTAAATTGTACACAGCAATATGGAAGCTTAACTTGTCCTTCATAGCATATTAGAAAATTTTTCTAACATACCACAATCTGTTAACAGCATCCTGTTTTGTTCATGTCCTCAGGGCACTGAAGAGGGAATGGTCAGAATTTGAGGATTCTGGTATTGCTTCTCAAGAAGATGTTGGTGGGGCCTGATATCTGGGAATCAAGGCTTCCCTGAAAATCTGGGGCAAGTATATAAAGCCATATGTCTAATTATTGAAAAGTTACATATCCCACTAACAAATCTGACAGGCGTGACTTCACTGTGACAAAATATATGTACTGCTATGTTTTCCTTTGACTCCAAGTTGACAAAATAGCAAACACTACTAAGCTCAATGATTGCATACGTCTGGGTGTTGTTTTGAAGGGCCAGTGATGTTTGCACAAGCAATGGTTTTATGTTGCAAGATGTTCCTCAGCCAACTTACGCAACTATTGTGAAGGCTGCATTAATTTGTGAAAACGCCTGGAATAAAGAATTGAAACCAAAGAGAAGCCAGAAATTGGACACTCAGTGTTATTGGGAAACGAGAATTCCTTATGTAAGAGCCCATTGCCTTTGTAGCTAAGAAGACAGGTGGACAGGTTAATTATTTCGTCTTTCCTCTTATGCAGGCATTCTTGTCTGTCAAGTCATCTTCATACTCCAAAGCAGCCCATCTCTAATTTGAGAACCCTCCAAACCCTCACAGCATTTGAAGGCAGTTCTTGTCTGGACAGAGGGCAAGAGATGTGGAAACACATTTTTCTGGGTCCAAATTGTATTAGTCACGTGAATGCTTGTTTAGGGTTCTGAATCTCTCTGTGCAAATACTGAGTGGCAGATTCAAAGCGACAGAGGTGCCTGTGTGTCTTTTAATAAATGTATTTTTGGTAAGTTCATACTATGTGGATTCCTCTAAAAAAGAGATCCCAGAATAGGGGCCCCTCTTGTATAATCAAAGTGGGTACCGTCTATTTGGGCATACTTCAGAGTTATAATCTACTCCAGCACTCTAATCATTGGGAAAACTGAGAAATGTCAGGGTAATTGTACTTTGAAATATACTGTATATTCATATATAACCTAGTTATCAAGTTATATATTTTTAGACATGTCCAATTAGCTGTGAATCATTCTGGGTAAGGAGTAGTCCCACCCGGAGGAGGCAGTGGGGTCGTGGGAAAGTCGGGTGGCTTCTCAGGGCAGTGCTCCTTGTGCTGTTTCTGGGAGGGAGAGGAGTGGAAGTTAGACAAGTGGAACAGGGCAGGAGGGCATTCCTGGTCAAGGGCAAACAATGCACACAGCACCACTCGGAGGTACATCCAAGCAAGTGCAGGTGCTTTGGTGTGGTTGAGAGCAGGGAGAGGGGCTCGCAGAGGAAGGTGAAGGCTAATGTTATTGTTCCAGTGAGAGATGGTGAATCCTGAACTGAGGAAGAAGTAGCGGTGGAGGCAGGCTGACAGATGTTAGATGCAGGGAATCCTGCGTGCTGGTTGGGTGGGGAGGGGCTCTCTAGTCCCCCAAACTCCAGCCTCCGGTGGGAGCCAGTTTGGGTTTGGCAACACCTCAGTTAACAGATGTTTAGGTGCCTGTTAGTGTGAGCTTGCCTGAAGCCCTGGTCAGTAAGATTCAATGTGATTCCGAGTGTTAATCAGGAGAATGTACAGTCCGTTCACAGCCCAGACCCGAGGCATGAGCGGAATGTTCCAAAGGCAGCAGAATATCATACGAGGTAGCCTTCATGTGCTCATTCTGGAATGAAAAATTAATAACCTCCTGGACTCGTTCATTAGGAGATGTGAGTAAAGAAGAGATAATGAAATCTCCAAGTGATGGACTTGCTGATTCCTCGGACTCAAAGTGATTAAGATCAGCTGGTCAAGGGTATGAGAAGGGCTCCCACCTCCCAGAGGGGAGGTGCCACTCCGGATCTGCCTGGCTGCTTGCTCAGTTGAGGATGTCTTTAGGGAAACTTGGCAGGAACAACCTCATCTTGCTCGTCACCCTAATATTTGTTCCACCTGGATCCCTGAGGCGGGGGTACTTTTTGACCACAGCGTTGCCCCAGGGCACTGCAGTGGGGGGCTCCCAGCCGCACAGGAAGCCTCATGCTTCCCCTACGGCTTCGCATAACTCATTTTCTCTCTTTCTTTCTCCCACACCATGTCCCATTTGAACACTTTTCTCTGCCTTTTAAAAAACTAAAGTGTAACGAAAGCAAGATGAGAACTGTGTAACCACAGTGGCTATGATTCTGAACACACACACACACACACACACACACAAAGAAAGAAAGGAAAGAGCAGAATGTCAAGGGTGAGACTATTGGAAAAAGTCACCCATTCTATCTTGATATCCTTCTTTCAGATTCTTATCCTTCTGGGTCAAGGATTTTTGTAAAGACTTGAACGACCCGACTGCCTCTTATTTTATAAATCCCAGTGAGACGGTTCACTCCAAAGGGTGGGGTGGTTCTTTGTGTGCTGTGTCGTGAAGAAGGAGGAAAGGTCATTTTTCCACCGAGAGGCTGTTTCACGGCTGTCTTTGGGCAATTTGTAGGAACTGAAGAAGGGGATAGCATCCCGTTCCTCAAATCCCAGTCACCGTCTCTCTTCTTTCCTTACAGATGGTCTGCTTCAGCCACCCCTCCCTCCCCCAGCAGACCAGACTCCCTCACTTTTCTAACCCATCTCCTCTGAGCTTGGCTACATATGTTGATGACATTCTCCGTCCTCACCCTGAGAAGTGCGGGGCTTAGAAGAAAAGCATGGACATCCCTGTATGAGTCTGCCTGGGCTGCCACACAGGGTACCACAGACAGAGGGGCTTAAACAACAGAGGTGCATTTGCTCACAAGTCTGGAGACTTGGAGCCAGAGATCAAAGTGTGGGCAGGCTGGTTTTCCTCTGAGGCCCGTCTCCTTGGCTTGTGCACGTCTGTCTTCTCCCTGTGTCTTCACATGGCCTTCCCTCTGAATCTGTGTCCAAACTTCTTCTTATAAAGATGCCAGCTGCATTGGACTAGGGCCTAGCCTAATGATCTCATTTTACCTTAATCAACTCATGTTTTTAACTGAAGTATAGTTGATTTACAAAATTGTATCATTTCAGGTGTACAACATAGTGATGCAAATTTTTATAGATTATACTCCGTCTAAAGCTATTACAAAATAATGGCTACATTACCCTGGGCTGTGCAATACATCCTTGTGGACTGTTTGTTTTAAGCATAGTAGTTTCTGTCTCTTAATCCCCCACCCTTGTCTCATCACTCCCCCTTTCCCTCCCCTGACTGGTTTGTTTTCTGTATCTGTGAATCTGTTTCTGTTTTGTTACATGCATTCATCTGATTTATGAAACAGATTTTTAAATTTATTATTATTTTCAGACTCCACATATAAGTGATGACATAGGGTATTTGTCTTCCTCTGACTTATTTCGCTTAGCACAACACGCTCTAAGCTCATCCATGATGTTGTAAATGGCAAAATTTCATTCTTTTCTTTCATAAAATATTTATGGCGGAGTAGTAGTATATATCTATATATCTATATCTCATCTTCTTTATCCATTGTTCTGTTGATGGACACTTAGGTTGGTCCCATATCTTGGCTGTTGTAAATGATGCTATTATGAGCATTGGGGGTGCATGTGTCTTTTCAAATTGGTGTTTTTGTGTTCTTTGGCTATATACTCAGCAGTGGAATTGCTGGATCCTATGGTAGTTCTAATTTTAGTTTTTTGGGGAAACTCTATACTGTTTTTCATAGTGACTCCACCAATTTACAATCCCAACAGCGTACTAGGGTTTTCTTTTCTTCACATCCTTGCCAACATTTGGTATTTAGACTTATTGGTGACAGCCATTTTGACAGGTGTGAGGTGACAGCTCATTGTGGTTTTCATCCGCACTTCTCTGATGATTAGCAACGTGGAGCATCTTTTCATGTGCACTTTGTGCATTTGTATATCTTCTTTGGGAAGAAGTATCTGTCTAGGTCTTTTGTCCATTTTTTAACTGAGTTCTGTGCTTTTTAATATTGAATTATATGAGCTGCTTATAAAATTTGGATATTAACCGCTTATTGACCGTATCATTTGCAAATATCTTCTCCTGTTCAGCAGAGTGTCTTTTTGTTTTGTCAGTGGTTTCCTTTGCTGTGCAAAAGCTTTTGCATTTAATTAGGTCCCATTTGTTTATTTTAGCTTTTATTTTTGAGACAGATCCAAAATAATATTGCTATGATTCATGTCAAAAGTGTTCTGCCTATGTTTTCTTTTAGGAGTTTTATGGTTTCAGGTCTTACATTTAAGTCTTTACTTCATTTTGAGTTTATTTTTCTCATGATGTGAGGAAATCAGAAAATACCTTGAGACAAATGCAAATGGAAACACAATGTTCCAAAATCTATGGGATGCAGCAAAGGCAGTTCTAAGAGGAAAATTCATAGTGACACAGGCCTACCTCAAGAAACAAGAAAAATCTCAAATAAACAACCTAATGGAATTCTAAAAATAGGAACAAACAAAGCCCAGTTTGGCTGAAGGAAGGAAA